AAACCAGCATGGAAGCGGAGTTGCCACACACCAGAGATCATGTGGTAAGATACTACAGGAGACTGCTTTCTCTGACTGTTACAGCTCACCTCAGGCCTTATGCCCATGACTAATTTGCACTGGCAATGCGTTGATATACAAATTTTATATATACCACACTTTAAATATATCACACCACTCTGTAGGATGCGATTTTCAAGTTACAGAGGAGTCAGGAAATACCTCTGAATTCTTTGTAAAGTGTCAAATACTAACCAGATAAGGTTTGTGTTCATGTTGCCAATAGTGCCATCCTACCCAAATGTAATGGATAAAGTCATGCTTGGATTAATCCCCGGCAAGCAGGAGAAATTAATTGTGGTACCACCTCTTGTCAGCTCTGCTCCTTGTCCCATTGACTAGAGTAATTTGTTTAATTAACCTAGAATTGTCTTGTTAATTACAGATCATTTAGCATACCCAATAAAAGGTCAGGCTTCGAATTACACAATGATGCTTAAATTGCATTTATTTTCACATCTCTTCATAAAAACACAGACAAAATAACTTTAACCAGACCTTTTGATATAAAGTACTACCTTAATTTAAGCTAGCAAATGGGTACATCCACCACACCTAATGAGGTTGCTAGTGGCTCTTTTGTTTTTATGGATAAATAATAAGCCCTAAATATGTGTCTCTGTCCACAATGCAGGTAGTTCACAGACCCAGACAGAACAGCTAGGACCGACTGACTTCACCAAATGTTTGGAGGGACAAGGGCTTCCAAGTGAAAATCTGCTAAGGTGTAACACTTCTACTTAGACCTATTATGAAGTATAACCAAAAGATAGCTCAAGCGGCCTGTCTGTCTCTATTCTTAGTGTCAATAGAGGAAAGCAGTAACAGAAATTTGCATCATGGCAATGAAGCCTTGGTATGAAATCTAAGCCCACTGGTGAAGCACATATCTTTATGATCCAGAGACCCATGGATTAATAGATCCAAGACTTGTCTTCGAACAGGTGTTTTGCTTTGCAAATATGCCTTGGTGCCAAATAATATTTTTAAAAAATATAACAATGAAGTTAAAAACTTTTAATGGTAATAATTTGAAGGTAGTATTGGAGATAATTTATACTCATCTATTAATAACCATTAAAATAAGATTCAAAGAGTGCTTGGGAGGAAAGAACTAAAAAGAACACACTTTAGAATCTGCTCGCTAAAGCAGCCCTCCACATACACTGATTTCATTGAATCTCACCTTTTAAAGAGTTTTATAACTTAAATGACTTGATGTCTAATTAGTGCCCCCCGAAAAGAGGGGAATGAAAGATACCAAGGCTCTAAACATTTCATCAAACAGTTGTTGACTTGGCAGATGTGTTGGCTGATCAGGGGGTTCAGCTTCAAGCCTAGTTACTCTGCATCGGCTGTGCCCACCAGATTCTCCGATCTAAGAGGCAGGATATCAAAACGTGAGTAAAAGTTCTAGCGTTCAGAGACAGAATATTAAAAATCGAGTAAAATGAATCTCAGCTCTGGCAAGGAACAATTTTATATGAAAGGATATTCAAATCCCCCTTCATTGAGCAACCACAATAAGCCTTGAAAATTTACATGATTGAGCTAGATAGAATTCAAAGCCAAAGACAAGGGGAAGGCGCTTTTCTTATTTTTTCCCCCCTGGGATACACAAAGAGAAATCCATAATTAAGCGTCACACTTCCCTGGGGCAGAGTGTTTTCTTACACTGACAAGCAAAATGAGGCACTTCAAACCAAACATCGCTGTACACAATGCATCTTTGTGTAGCTATTGTTTTAATATATTTCTGGCTATTAGGCATTTATCTATTTTTGGTCAGCAAGGCATGCATTTTATTTGAAAAATTCTGGTTTTGCATAAAAGGCTGTAGTTACGTTCGTAGAATTATGTTTCTACAATGGTATCTGAAGAATAAATATGGCCTTACTTGGGCTGTTTCTTATATGCATTTGATATTCCGGAAAGTAGCTGCAACTTTAGTGTAATTAATACAATGAAAATTAACTCTAAATAGGAGAAAAGATTGTCCAAAATCTATTTAAACTCAACTATATGCTTTTGTTTGCCTCCCTTGTCACAGCTAGTTAAACACATCACACACTAATCCTACGTGTTGGAAAATGCCAAGCAAACCATGTTTCACATTCCATCAAAACACCCAGAGACTAACAACAAATTATGTATTCGGCAACTCTTTTGTTCTGCACCAAAGAATAAATCATATTACTTCAGCCTCATCCCACCGTAACCACTAAACTACTCCAAAACAGAAATCCACTTAAATTTCCTATTCCATCAATTTCCTCTACTTGCTATTACATTTATATATGGTCATTTAACCGCTATCTGTATTTCTACTGCATCAGTGGAAATAACTTGTCAAAATCACCCAGGTTCTTTGTTTTTTTTTTTTAAATGATGACTGGATTCCCCTGTCCACCCCACCCCAGTTTCGGATTCACCCCCATATGGAGTAATTCTAGAACTAACCGTGCGGATGGATTGCAGGCGATGCTGGTGCTGAGTAGCAGAAGATCCAGCAGTGTCTCAGCCCTGGATAAAGTCACAAGAGCCAGCTTGGTGACTCACCCTGTACTTCTAGTGCTTGGAAGGCTGAGACAGGAGCATTGCCAGGACTCAGGACCAACCTGGGTGACTGTCATGTCTAATGTTATCAACTTGATGGAGCCGAGCCTCTTCTGAGACCAGTCCCTGGACATACCTGTGAGGTGGAAGGGCCACCCTAAAGTGGGCAGCATCACCAGACCACCGTACAAGGAGAACGCTAGCTAAGCACCTGCGTTCCTCACTCTCTGCCTCCTGACTATTGATGCTGTGTCCAGATGCCTCAGGCTCTGGCCACGAGAGCTTCCTCCATGATGGACTGAGCCCTCCAATTATAGGCCAGGTAAACTCGTTCTCCCTTTAGCTGCGTTTGTAAGGGCATTTTATCACAGCCCGAAGTTAACTGGGACAACAAGACACTTTAGTTAATTAATTAATTTAAAAAATAGTAAGAACCATCTAAGGAGCTTTAAGTTCCATAGCTCCAGAGCTTTTGAAAACTGACTGTGTTAGGGTAAAGCCTGGTAGATAAACATTGCATACTTGAAATAAAAATTCATCTAAAATTCACATTGAGCTGAGTGCCTTCAAGATCTATCAGCTAAATTTGTCAGCCACACATGTGAGTTCTGCTATAATAAAGTGATAACATTTATGCACAAATACTATAGATATGACTGTAGCTAAACCCTTCATCTCTCTGGAGCCCAAAAAAAATAAGGCTAAGTCAGTGGACTCTTTATACCTAAGAGGAATATTTCCCCCAAGTTTTAGCCTTAGAAGAAAATAGTAACAGATTAAAATTCTCCATGGGATGATTCCCCATGTCAAACAACCCTGAGGTGCCTTCCGGGTTCCTATAAACCACAAGGTCAAAGGCCTTATCTCGGATAGGCCACGTATCGAGCTTTCATACGGGGAAATATTTATGTAATAAATAGCATTAGCACATTCTGGCTTTTGACAATGCAATTCTATCTTTGCCACGCCTTTATAGTTTCACGATTTTAGCATAAGATCAATGGTTTTGCTATGAAATGTGCAGTTTTGATGTTCTTCAGAGTCTATTTAATCCAGGTTGGCATGACTGCAGCATACGGGCAAATCAGAGATTTCCAAATTGAGAATCTTCTGTGATTAATGACCTTCATGAAGCCGTCTGCCTTGCCACAGGTGTAATCTGCCAGATCTCCGATTTAAGAACGAACACTTTACTTAAGTCATTTCAGTATTAAGTGACGTTCTTTTATAAATACCCATAGGATTAAATTAACAAATACTGCTGAGCCCCCTTTAAGCAATTCTTTCTTATTAAACAGTGTGGAACTTTTCTTCTCCCATCTGATTGGTATAACTATGAAAACTGAATGATCCATGGGTGGCAAAATAAATTTCATCAAATTGAATGAAAAACTCAAAAATTTACACTAAACCCACAGAGCCAAGAATATCATGGTAGAGAGGGGACAGAAAGGCTGTCATTCCCTGGTGAGGATGTTAGAAAATAGTAACTATCATTTGGTGCTGGTGGGAATAGAAACACCCCACGCCACTTGAGAAGTCAGCATGGAGGCCCCTCAAGAGCCGGGAACAGAGCTGTCCTATGGTGACTCGGGTACATCCCAGAGTGGCGTTGGGTCAGCACAGCACAGTGAGGTGCTGGTGATGAGCGCACAGCACAGGAAACAGAGCCACTCTAGATACCCATCAACAGCTGAATGGAGAAAAAGAGTGCGCATACACACAGTGCAATTTCATGCATCCATAAAATGAGATCTTGACCTATCTGGAAAAGTAGATGCAACTAAAAAGTATTATGCTTAGTGAAACAAACCAGTTTTTTTAAGGAAAAAAAAAACCCTAACAGTATGTTTTCTTAAATATGCAGAACCTATATTTAAAATTATATGTTTATTTATATGCCATAAAACTGGAAAGTAGATCATGAGGTGTGAATAAAACACCTTAGGGGAGGTTGGAAATAGACAGCTATAAAATATACATGGTAAGAAATCAGACGGGAGAACCGCATGGGGAGAAGAGACCTACTCAAGGGACAACAGGAAGGGAGGGAATGAGTGAGAAGAAAGCACAATAAATGCACATGAAGAAGCCATGTGTGCTCAAAAACAAGAAGAAAGAAAGAAGGAAGCAAGGCATGAGGGAGAGAAGTGGGGGAAGAAAATTCAGAAAAGGGAAATTGTCTACCAAGACCATGGCAGGCTGAGTACAACGGTTCAACACAGCACCTGATTTCAAGCACCACATACACATACAATTTTACATGATTTTCTCTTTAGTCACAAAAGCTGAACACTTTCAAAACTGATATTCCCGAAACAGCAAAGACGGCGTAACTGTCTAAAATCTTGACAGTTGCCGGCTCTTCGAACAGGATGGCTTACCAAATCCAAAAGCACTGGCGCCTCCAACGCTCTGAGAAGACTGAGCACTTGTAGAGGTATACAGTCCCGTCACCAACAAGCCGTCGAAGAAGGTGCTTGTTGAAATGGTAACTGAAACAGAGGAGGGGGGAAAGACTTCCGTTAGTATAGTGAGAGAGAACAGACAACTCTGGAGTGTCGGGGTGGGGGGTAGTCATCGGCAAATTAGCCGGTTACTTTGGGTCTGTCTGTTGTGTATCTGTGTGTATATGTATGTGTGTGTGCGTGCGCACACACACACACACACACACACATACACACACACACGAAATTGCAGAGGAAACAAAAGCCTCAGAATCTCAGTGTTTATAATTTGTAATTGCTGGTCCTAGCTTTTGCATTCATTTGCATGTTTCCTAGCTACATTTAAAAAATCTGAAAATAATGTACCATCAGATAGATACACACACACACACACCATCTCCAGTCCCACCCCTGAAGGCTATCAAAGCATGGCTGGAGTTCTGGCATTATGACAAAACACTGTAAAAAAACTTTATTCCATACTGTGGGAAACAATCTATTGTTGGCTGAACGGAGAGCAGAGAGATGCACCGCGGTGCTTGTCATGGGGTCCCTGAAGTTTCTCAGTGGAGCACACGGATCCAGAAGAGTCTGTCTGCTCCTCTTGTGAACGAGAAAGGGACCGCTGTGTGCTTTGTGTTTCAGAGCAAAGCCTACAAGACAGGTCCACACGGTTTTACGGCCGCAGAGCTGAACGTTCCTCTGAAGAAGGCTGGAGTAAATCAATCTGTATGGCACAAGCTTTGGGTTAGGCTTCTTAAAATCGTAACTTGGTCCCCATCCTAAAAACAAACCATGACCTCCTTTTTGCCTAGCCTTGATAAGATACAGACAATACCATTTGGGGGAAGCAGGAGAGGAAGGTAATGATGTTATTTTGGTAGGGCTCAGATCAAGGCTGCCATCCCACTGGATGGTAATAGGGAGAATGGTCAGTCACATTAACTCTGATGAGATGGTTTAAATGAAACTCCAGGACGTCCAGTGAGTAGAAATAAATGGTCTGAAACATTCCTATCATGCCGCATCAAACAAGACGCGTATATAATAAAACAGCCTCGCATCAGGCCATCTCCCAAATGGCACTGGGTATTCGAATACATTGCCTTTCCAACGGCTGATTAAAAAAAATAATAATAGTACGGTTCAGTGCTGGAATATAAATCAGTTATCTGGGCTCTGAGCTCGCCAATCTACATGCATCTCGTTTAACTGTCAAAGCATGTGTGTGAGGGAAGTATTATTATTACCCCGGCATAAAAAGTGAGCAATCTACGGAGCCGCACCCAGGGCTATCACCTAAATGTCTGATTCCTAATATACTCTTACTTCTATCACTAGGACAGGATATAACATGGGGAAAGCAAGAGCACATTCGGCTTTCAACTCCAAGTTACAGCTCATCATTTTGGGGTAGGCGAGGCAGGAACTAGTGATATCACACCCCCAGTCAGGAGACAAGAAGGAAAAATGCGTCCCTGTTCCCTGTCTGTCTGCGCCTCTGTCCAGCTAGCTTTCTTCAGTCTTGCACAATTCAGGGCACCACACCCGGTGGACCTGGTCTACTGACTGTCAAGACAGACCTAGAGACATGTCCACAGGCCAGCCTGAACTAAATCGTTTTTCAGTTGAGATTTTCTCCCCACATGATTCTAGGTTGTGTTATTTGTTTATGTGGTTTCTTTTTTGTTTTATGTTTTATTTTTATTTCTGTTTTCTTTCGATCCCAAAGTGTCACACAGGCCAGTAGTTTACAGCTTTTTTACTGGGCTGTTCACATGCACGAAGGAAAAATAAAGCAAAAACCTCAGCAATCAGTGGCATTGTTATCAAAAGGGCAAAAGGCTTCGGACGGGAAGGCCCTGGGCAGAGGCAGGGAAGGGATGAGGCCCAGGTATCAGGTCCTCTTCTGCTACTGGATGCTTGTGTGGGCTTAGGAGACCCAGTTATCTCTCTGTGTCTGAATTTCCTCATCTGCAGAATAATATCCTAATCCCAGGGTCCCGAAGTCTGTGTTGCTCAGTCCAAAGCCTGTGGTTGATTCTGCTGAAGCTGATTTCCTGTATATCAATGAGTTCAACAAGAGGAAAGAAAGACAGAGACAGAGAGAGACATGGTTTGGGGAATGAACGGGGCCCTCCACGTACCCTTAAAAACACCATGTCATCCCCAGCCTTCTGTTTATGTCCCGGGGCGGGATCTCCTAAGGTTCCCAGACTGCCCTTGAATTTCTGCTGCTCCCTCACCTTCCACAGAGCTGAGATTACAGACTCGGCTGTCTTGACTAAGATTAATTATTTTTCAATTGCTTCTGTGTCTCCTGGTTTTATGAAGTTTGAGGGGAAAGCAGCTTCCTCATTCCACATCACTGCGATCAGTAGAGAGGCAGTAATTAAGTTCCAATGCATCACGTCCTGGCTGCTGTGATGTCTTCTGTACTCTACACTGCAGCTCCAGCTCCTTACAAAAACATATTGATACCATGAGCGTGTTGGTCTGGTATTGGAGGCAACTCTGAATCTGAGCTTCAACTCTCTCCATGCTGACCAGGGAGGGACTGGAGTGGGTGTCTTCGATTCCTCGTTTAGAAAAGGGAAGACACTACGCAGCACACTGGAAGAATTAGAAGCCACCATGTCTACTATGGAACTCTACCTTCTAAACACCACACTGTATGTGCAGTAAACTGTTCAAGAGCCGGGGCCCTTTCCTTTCCAACTTCCAAGCCCTAAACACAACCTTGCTCTTTCTGACTGAGAACAGAAAGACTGAGAACTGAGAACCCTGCACAGAGCTCCTGGATATCTACAATTCTAGAAGCCTCTGACTATCTAGTTCCTGGACAGCCCGCATCAATTCCTGTGACCTGCAAGGACCCCCTAGTTCCCCTCCTCCCACGACTCCGTCTCTGAACATTCCCACCGAGTCAGAGCTGTGAGCAGCTAAACGCAAGATGAACAGCATCTCCAGCTTATATGCCTGCCCTCCCTCCATAAGTCTTCCATGATCCACGCAGTGAAACAAACATGAAAACATGCCTGAGTACAAGAACATAGCTGAGGGTTCTTTCCTCGGTTGTCCTCAAAAACTCAGCACTAACCCTAAATGGAGGTGCCCACCCCGTAACCAAAGCCCCTCCCACTGATGACAAGCGACAGATCCGATGCATTGGCGGCGTCACAAATTACACAGCTCTTTGCAGCCCAAGAGGTCTGCATCTTCCAACTGCCTGGAATGTTTGGGATTCACTTGGTCCTATTTTCTTGGTGGAGATGTGGACACTGAAGAGAGTAGAGAAAACCCTGAGTGAACGTGTGCTGTTTACATGGCTAAGGTCTTGTCAAGGGCCCGTGGGGAAAAAAGCCTTCCTCAGGCGAGGCTTAGAGAGAGGACAAAGCCTTCCTCTAGGAACCAAGCGCCAATGTCCACAATGTTTGCAGAAAATGTCCATCACAGCTTCCTCCCTCTGTATATTTACAACCTGAAGACTGTCCCCTTACAGCTGCTCCTACTTAGGTTGCTAAACCTGCCTCTTTGATTCACCATGAACCCTTGTCTATCTGTGTGTGATTACCCCACCTCCATGTTCAGCTGGAGGCAGTAACATAGCCTCCCTCTTCAACTGCATACAGTACACACCCTGAGCTTCCAGGGTGCTGTGGATACTCCATCCAAGAGCCTAGTTCACCCAGTTACCTTTTTCTTCATTCCCTCGCCAACCCAATTAGGTCCAAGATCCTGTCCATGCTGGGATCTGTCAAACACCCATTATGTGGCCCTTCTGGGTGTACTTAAATTTGAGAAATCATTTCTGAACACCAAGCGAATGAAATGGAGTTATTGAGAAACACGAGGCCCTGTCCCTTGATTTAAATACCACCGTAAGCTAACTACTGCCGAAGTTTTAGCCCCATGTCAGGCCTCTTCTTCAGCTCTAGACACATGGCAAGCTCCTGCTTGGCATCCCCACTTGGATATCCAAGAGGTATCGTGAGACCTTGCCCTCCATGTAACCAACGCTCAGTGGATAACCACACCGGCCTCTGCTTATCCAGACCGAAAACATCTCAGCCCCCTTTGGAATCAAGCTCCTCCCAAACCTCTCACACAGCCCTCCAACCAATCCTGCCAGCTCTGCTTGAAACCATATTCCAAGTCTGGCCACATGTCTTGCTGCTTTGGGTGAGCACTGTCTTTCCCACAAACGGTCTCATCATTTCCGTGACCTCGCCCTCTCAGCTCTACTCTCTCCTCTGCAGACTGTCTTCAGCACAATTCAGTAAAATTCTTTTACAACACACATCTGACAGGCCATGCCACTGTTTTTAGAGTCTCCCCTAACTTCGGAGGAAGGCAGTCTACGCATTAGTGACCTACACAGCAACTACTGTCTGGTCGTCCTGGATTTTTTTTCTGCATTTTCATCTTTGTTGTCTCTCTCCATCCTAGCTTCCTGGCTCAGAAGTCCTGGCACTAGCCACCCAATCACCTTAGGTTCTTTCCTTTCAGAACCTGAAGGGCCAATTCCCTCACCCACTTCAAGCATCAACTCAAATGCCCCCCTGTGAATGAAGGCTGCCTTGAATGTAGTATCTGCAAAGGCAGACAACCCTGCCCACCTCCCTCGCATTCCCAGAATCCCTTAGTTGAGTCTACATTTCTTCTCTTTTTTTCTGTCATTTTTACCGTGTAACAAAGTATATTGATGTATCTACTCGCAGTACTTTAATTACATTGATTGTAAGTCTTGTTCTGTAGAACAATGTAACCACCAAACCACTTCCGATGTTTTGTTTAGTAAAACATCTTGAGCGTCTAGATAAAATCATGACATTTTTATATGCTGGCTAAATACTTGGTGAATGAATAGTGACTAACTCATTCACAGAAAATAAAGTGGGGTTGTCTCCTCTTCGGGTTGTTTCCCGAGAACTGTGCTATAAATTCTACACTCCAGGATTTAGGTCAGCTGAATCCCATTTGGAAAATACACATGGGGAAAAAAAGAGAGCGAGAGAGACAGAGAAAGGCTGGCTCTTTAAATATGT